CCGGTTCAGTCCAGTTCAGACCGGTTGAACCGGTTCAGCCAATATTTTCATGTTTTAGTCCCGGTTCATATTTTAAGTTTCATTTTTCAGTTAAAATTCCGGATCCAGTTCAGTTCAATAAATTTATATCAGTTCAGTTCCATATTTAACCGGTTCCAGTTATACCGATTAAATCCTAGTATCATGTCAAGTCCAGTAGAGAATCTTAACATATTAAACATCTATTTTTTATCAGTCTGAGCATAGTACTTACTAATTGTTTCTATTATATTTCAGTTTGTTCAGACTTCAGATATCAGCACTGCCTTTCATTTTCAAAGGATCAGGTGGGGACTCAGACTGGGTATTGCATTGATTATAATTACTCTACCATGTTTGAGGTATGTATTATCAGTATCCGCTTGGAATGGTCGCCGGTACATTCTGGGTTCTAGTGGCCTTAATCTGCCCACTAGAGTGTGCACATGGTGTCTGGCATTTTTATGCTGGCAGATGTTTAGTTATCAGTCAAGTGATGTTTATCATGAGATCAGTATCAGATTATTCAGTACTGGTATCAGATATCAGTTTCAGTTTCAGATTCAGTTCAGTTCGGTTATATATGCCAGGATCATGATATTGTTATTATTTCACTGTTTACTTTAGTATGAGTTTCTGCAGAGCACAGTGGATTAGTGCTCACGCCCCCACATTATTCATGTTTTTCAGGTCACAGGGTCGGGGCCGAGGAGTGAGCTGGTGACCGGTTCAGGACATTTGTATATATGTGTATATAATGTTTTGGCTACACTACAGTTTCCGCTACTAGTTCAGTTTACCAAACCAGCTTTTGATCCGACTCTAGTCGGGTACTATGTTATATAACCGTTTTATTATCAAACTAAAATAACAGTTTTCAGATAAAGTCAGATTTTACGGTAGCACCCCGAATCAGTATTTCGCAAAATAAATGTTTTTATTTAGAAAAATTTTGCGAAAAGCGCACTCTGAATTTCATGAAATAGCGGGTTGTTACAGAAAGGCTTGTTTTCGAACATGACACCATTATTTGATGTGAATAACATATATTTCTCGCACCATTGCGTTTAAAAAGAAAATCGTATACATTTAAGGAAGTCGAGGAAAATAAGAGTAAATATGGGAAAAAAGGAAAAATAAATCAACGTCTCCGGAAAGGCTTGTTTTCGAACACGACACCATTATTTGATGTGGATAACATATATTTCTCGCACCATAGCGTTTCGAAGAAAATCGTATACATTTGAAGAAGTCGAGGAAAATAAGAGTAAATATGGGAAAAAACAAAATAATATTCAACGTCTCCGAAAGGCTTGTTTTCAAACACGACACCATTATTTGATGTGGATAACATATATTTCTCTCACCATCGCGTTTCGAAGCAAATTCGTATGCATTTAAAGAAGTCGAGGAAAATAAGAGTAAATAGGGGCAAAATTGAAAAAATAATCAACGTCTCTGGAAAGGCTTGTTTTCGAACACGGCACTATAATTTGATGTGAATAACATATATTCCTCGCACCATCGTGTTTCCTAATAAAATTTTATACATGTAAAGAAGTCTAGGAAAATAAGAGTAAATAGGGGCAAGAACAAAAAAAATAATCAACGTCTCCGGAAAGGCTTGTTTTCGAACACGACACCATTATTTGATTTGGATAACATATATTTATCGCACCATCGCGTTTCGAAGCAAATTCGTATACATTTAAAGAAGTCGAGGAAAATAAGAGTAATAGGGGCAAAAACAAAGAAAAAGATCAACGTCTCCAGAAAGGCTTGTTTTCGAACACGACACCATAATTTGATGTGAATAATATATATTCCTCGCACCAACGCGTTTCGTAGCAAAATCGTATACATTTAAAGAAGTCGAGGAAAATAAGAGTAAATAGCGGCAAAAACGAAAAAATAATCAACGTTTTCGGAAAGGCTTGTTTTCGAACACGGCTGTAATATCCCGTCATGTTATTAATATAAATCATGCGTTTAGTTCCGACATAATAATATTATCGATTATTACTGTTCGAAATTAATTATTTCAGTCAAGATTATCCGAAATTATTTCGAAGTCACGTTTACGTTCGGAATAATTTTGGTAATTAAATATCAAGCTTAACTAAATAATTAAGCACAAGATTGTGCTTAATTAAGAATTAATCACGCTCCAACATTAAAATGCCGAGAGCATTTTATGTAAGTCATGAAGATTTATCTTAGCATGAGGTGTCTCAAGCTTAAGGCTTAAGTGGTGACTAATACACATGTTTAAATGACTAAGCATGTTAAGCCTCTCTTAAGTCTTAATTCTCCAACATTTGGCACAAAATGATTGGCCAAAATAAATCTTCACCTCTTCATCATTTCTTTCGACCATATATTAGGCTAAGTGGGGAGAAAATTCTTCTTCACTTAAAACGTATCATGAGCAGCTATATGTAAGAATGTTAGGGAGAATTTTAGTTTATTAAGCTTAAGTGTTCACGGAAGAAGGGAGAAAGAACCACCGCACGCGCACGAGAATTCGGAAGTCGTACTATCACTCGAGCTATTAAGGAGGTAAATTCCTCGTTGATATTTTCTTGTTGTTAGTATGTTCCTCCTCAGTTCAAACCTTAGGCCTATAGTTCATGAATTATCTTTAATTTCTCTCGGTCATGCGAGTTAGACCATGTCGAGCATGTCGAATTTATTCCGAAACTCTCGAACAAATTTTCATGTATTCAGTTATTATATGCGATTTCATGTTAAATCAATTCATGGTTGTCGAGAGATTTTCATGTTCGGTCGAAGAATCGGCCTAAAGACGTAGGCGGCGCACGGTGCGCTCGTCACCAGCCATCGTAGTCCATCGAGTTAAATTTATGATTTTTAAGTATATTCAGCAGATTTGATCATGTCATGCTAGATCATGTTGGTTCATGTGATAAATGGTAGGAGGAATTGTTAAATGGCCGAAAGTATTGGCCGTAGCGTCGGGTCGCAACATTGCGCACGCTACAACCATGTTCCAAATCATGCCGACGTCTTTCTTGTGCAAC